GAGGAATACAAGAAACTTGCCGAGCGGTGTTGTGATGCTGATCCTGATAAGCGTCCTGATGCATTGACACTTTGGAATAATATTGACAAAGTGAGAAAGGATAAATCTGGTGACAGCGTGTGGAATACTATCTACCATACTGATGTAAAGCCATTATCACGTCTCGAGAAAGCGAGTAAATATTCCAGCACACTCTTACCTACTGGAGCTTTGCCCAAACCGAGAAATAGTTATGATTTGGATTCAGCTGCAGGTATGTTACGCGTTGGTACAAAACAAAGTCAATTTACAATATTACAATATTAACACTCTATTTATTATAATTAGCAACTCAAACTCTTTTTGAAAAATCTTGATTGTTAACAAGACGCTGAAATAAATATGCATGTCTGTCTTTCGGGCATAGTATTAGAAATATAAGAAAATTACTAATTAAAAATAAACGATGTGAACCAATTATTTACATTTTATAATCGCGTCGCCATGTTTGCCTGAACAGTGAAACTTATTTTCAATTTCAGCACCGGCCGGATGATGCGTCGGCCAAATGCAGATAGGAAGCCTGGAAATGCGATAAAGCAGAAAATATGACACTTTTTGTAAGGATTAAATCTTAGTTTATTTTACTGCTTATTGATAATATTACGCGATCGATGAACTCATGTTCCTCAAGAACTATTGCCACACTCTTTTTGTGGAAACAAACTCAATTTGAGCCTCCACCGAATAGGCAACCTATCAGTTGCTGCGTGTCTGCAGTCTTTGATAAAATACTACTTTAAATTTATATTACACTTCAATTACAAATGTACGTAATTGGTTGATTTTAGACAAGATGACGGTTTTTTATGACTTTGACAACAGTAGTAATTATAGATAGTGAATGTTGCAGCAATTAATGCAAAAAAATACCACTCACTATTATTAATACGATGCATCTTCCCTGCACGTACACATGTCGGAGGAATACAGTAAGCATAAATTATATAATATTGTCGAATTATTGTATCAAGAGCAGGTTATTATAAGACCGTAACTTTGAATAAACTAACATCAATGTGTCTATGACGTTCGCTTAGCGTAATTTTTTGCTGTGTTTCAGTTTGAAATCTGCCTCAGTTCTGGGTCATCATATATACATCTATTATGACAGTTAACTATAATTTTTTCCCGAGTCCGTACATTTATGGAGAGATGACGGTATCTTTAATACAATTCATTACATCGATACTAATGTTGCCCGCGTAACAATTCCGCATGCAATTATTTTTTTTACCTCACAAATATTAGAAACCAAACTTTAGAACATGAATTAGAAGCTCGTATCAATCAGCGTCCGATAACCAACTCACGAACAACAACGGAATTATTAACATCGATGAGAATATAGTGTGTGATGAAGAAAACTATCAAGGAGACAGTCGATACATTGATCACAGAGGAGGAAGTGGAGAGCTTAATGTTGAAAGGAAGGTCGCTAAACGCTTGAACGTTTAACAATTTATACGTTCAAGATGACTTAGATGGAGATGCCATTGAATCGGAAGATTAATAAAGAAAGTTGTTACAAAAAGCATGAGACCATCCCTTTTTTTTATTAGTGTTTAATGTTTACTCATTATTTGCAGAATTACAAGATTTAAGATAATACGTATATGCCAGGAGAGATTGACTGTATCTAGTATAAAACATTCGTAAATTTATTTCGTTCATTTCATTGCAAAACGCTTTTCCGTATTGGCAATATATGAAATCAAATTTGCCTTTCATTGAAATGTACAACGCGTCGGTTTTCCGATCTACAGGTTTTTTGCACAAAAACAAACGTCTATGGTTGGTGGTTGAATATGTAAATATTCGAGTAAGGGGATGTAGGCAAATACAATAATAGTCTTCGATATTAAAGCATGGCAAAAACAGCTGAAGTGATTTAGTGTCTTTTGAATCAAACTGGGCAATTATTCCTGTGGCAGTATTTAATTTACAAATTCTGGGCTATGGTCAACGCTTTCTTTCAGTTCTACGGCCTGTTCGCTTTACTGCCAGATATATCGAGACAAACAATTTCACACGAATAATGACTGTAAGCAATCTTTGAATCTACCATACCCTTGTTTATTTCAACAAACTTGTCAAAAACTCCAGCACGGAAAAGTATGCGAATGAAAAAATATCAACTTGTGAGACTGTTCTGATAGGTGTTTATTAATTTAAGCTAAATACTAGAATAATTACTGACAAGAGCTTAAAAACACTAGTGATACAAATAATAATAAATAAACATTTTTCATCAATTACTGCAGTCTTCGATCTATACCTATTCACCGATTCATCTTTGCATAATCCTCAATGGCCCTGTCCCTCAACTGCCTCCTCAAGATTTTCCCTGACGCGCTCTTCGGCACTTTATCAACAAAAACGACACCTCCACGCAGCTTCTTGCATGGTGCAGCATTATCAGCAACATACTTTTCAATATCTTTCTTGAGTTCATCAGTCTGTTCGATGTTTGGTTTGGTTTGAACGTACGCAATAGGATACTCTGTCGCTTCAGAGTCTGTCCAAACACCAACAACGCCAGCATCAGCTACGCTTTGATGAGTTAAAAGGAGCGCTTCAAGCTCGGCCGGAGCAACCTAGATAGATCGAAGTAGTCAGAAACTTTTTACGTAGGACTAGTTGCGATTAGGATTGAAGAAGAAAACGGAGGCAAAAAAGTACCTGGAAGCCTTTGTATTTGATCAGTTCTTTTTTACGATCAACGATAAAGAAATTTCCTAAGAAAAAAAGAAGGGGAAGGATTATGAGTCCATTGAGACGAGCATCTGAGCGATAGGATGTAGTAAAAGAATTTCAAACTTACCATTCTCATCCTGTCGACGCGATAAAGAAAAAAAAAAATAACATCTAATTAATATTAACACAAACAATTGTCACAAAAAAAAGACGGTTTTAGAAATGATACTTGCGACGGTCGCAACATCGCCAGTGTGGAAGAACCCTTCGCTGTCGAAACACGCGTCTGTTGCCGTCTTGTTGTTCCAATAACCCTAACAATCAAATCACGGTATTGTATGAGCACAATTTCTCTTGCTTCTCTTTACTCCGTAACACTCGTATAGATTATACTCGGTACCTTCATGATATTTGGTCCGCGAAGGCACAGTTCTCCGGGCTCGTTATATCCAAGCTCTGTGAACAAACCGGACGGAAATATCTTTTAGTGAAAAACGTGCAAAAGGAGAAAAAAAGTGAAAGAAAGCCGCTGGGCACGTATTCACCTTTGCCATCGTCGGATACAATCTTTGCCTCAAGGTTCGGCAAAAGCTTTCCAATTGAACCTGATGTGCATATATATATATATTAATTAAATCCAATGTATACCTCTCTCTCACAACCCCATTTCCTCCTCATGGAATAAGAATGACTAACCATCGACAGGATTCGAGTTGCTACCAAGATGCGTAATCGGTGATGTCTCGGTCAAGCCTACACATAAAGATCAGACAAAATATCACTTTGATGCTCCGGATATAAAAAGACGCACTACTCTTTGTTACAGTGACATATTACCAAATCCTTGCTTTATAGGCACTTGACAGATAGAATAGCACTCTTCAGTCAAGCTCTTACTCAATGGTGCAGCGCCGCTTATGAATACTTGCATACTCGAAAAGTCGCAAGTCCTTGCGACCGGACTCCTCGTTAACAATACGATTATAGGCGGGACAATATGAGCTATGTTGACCTTGTATTTTTGGATGGTTGTACAAAAGAGCGTTATGTCGAACTTTGGAATGACTACAACGGTAGCGCCCTTGGATTAGAGTAAAGACAATAGAGTTGTTTAGTGCGGGAGAGGAAAGGGTAGAAAAAAAGAATGATGAAATATATTTACTTACTAGTGAAAGAGCAGTGTTGACAAGAGTATTCAATCCGAATATGTGGAAAAACGGCTGCGTAAAGTAGCACGAAAAAAAGTAAAGCAAAGCAAACGTTAACTAAAACCCAAGACCAATTTATCTCTTTCTCGCTATACACACACGCGTATCCCGAGCTTACCAAAAGACCCATAAAAACTAGATTCGAATGCATTTTTGGTTCTTCAAAGGCCTTGTTCTGTTCAAAGTTGGACACCGCGTTGTAATGTGTTGTCATGACTCCCTTTTGCAATCCAGTCGTTCCCGAACTATAACACAAGAACGCCGGTTGTTCCTTAAGCTCTTCTTCCGTGAATACAACCGGTTCGGCTTCACGGTCTCCCAATAGATCCGTGTACGGTTTAATGCCATCTTTTTCTTCTCCACCGAAGAGAAAAATCTTTGACACTGGAAACTCGCAGTTTTTCGCTGCTTCGAGAGCAGTGGCCAAGACGAGCGGATGGGCGATTATAACTGATGCGGTTGAATCGCAAACTTGAGCCTGAAAGTCTTTTGGTGTTTGCTGAGGACTTGCCAACGTTGGGATACCACCTAGGCAGGGAATAGTGACCGTTATATGAATACGAATGGGCCTCGCAATAGAAACTATCTCGTGATAATATATTTAACTTACCGGCTGCAATTATGCCAAAAAAGACAACGGGGTAATCGACCTGATGACATTATAGACATTAAGCATTTCCTCAACTAGATAAAATCTCATCCATCCTTTAACATTTGATTACCTGATTAGGTGAGAATATAGCTACAACATCGCCCTTCTTCAAACCGAGCTTATCCTGCAATCCAGCCGCCAGCCTCTTCGAGTCCCTCTTAAATGCACCAAAAGTCAACTCGACACCGGTCACAGCATCGATAAATACTGGCTTGTTGTCATCAATTCCATTTTCATTTCGCGTAGCGTACTGGTAGACGCCCAATGATGGGATTTTAATATCGGGAACAGCAGAGCGGAAGATCATGTTGGATACTCCATCTAGATGTGGTAAATGCGTATTTAAATGAACACAAGCACTTGGCTGCGTTTGTCCTGCTTACTGCTGTATACTGATCACAAAGTCAAAATGAATCTTCAATGAATTCTCTTTTTTATAAATTGATCGGCAATGAGGAACGTCTCACTAATATGGAGATCGACGGTTTTCATCGCTTCTTTTGTGCCAGAACCCGTTGATCAGAATAACGCTAGCATTTGACAAATTTTTATTGGACGTCTTTATCGCACAGTCATGGTCGTGCCAAAAGGAGGCGATTTTCGTGTTTGCGACAACTAGATAAACTTTACTAATAGTAAACTGGAAAGATGCATCAACATTTGAGTTCGTTGTCACAATATATAAAAGTAGAGAGATTGAAGCTTATTATGAGAATAAATTAATTCTCTGAAGGCAAAATGGGCGCGTACGCATAGACGGTAAACAACACTGCTTCACTACTTAAATAAACAATCGAGCAATAGTTTGGCAACTTTACAAAACGAGTTGTTCAATCATAGGATTCAAGAAACGAACCAATCAATAACATTTATGTGAAACTTTGAGATGTTGAGATTTATCATTTCGGTTAGTCAACTAATCTTTAACGTAATATTAACGTAACTTTATCAATAAAAATTCTGGGGAAACCAGAAATACTTTAACTTAATGCAGTTCAGCTTTGTTTTGACGAGTTTACCTTGAGTGTGGCCTTTAGAGTTTATATTGTTATATCGTTCCTGATTGCTCTGGTTCATTTGTTAAATATGTCAATTACGATATTATTTATTCAATTTCCTAAGCTCCTACAATAAAATCTCGAGTTGGTTTGACTAACAATTTACCGCACTCATCAATCGTTACCAACCTTAAATGCTTAATTTTGACACTATCTTTCTTACATATTCAAACAATTTTTTGTAAGGCATACTGCATTCGTTGGAAAGAGAAGTAAGCCTTTAAACGACTCTGACAACTTCTTATTTTTAAGATTTTTCGAAAATGTAATAATAAGTGAATTACAAATTCTGAGTCACTAAATTGTAACATAATGGAAAGTGTTAATATGCGGTCAACCTTGTTTAAATCCCCTTTCGCTTATAAACTAACTTCATATTTAAAGTGCTATTTCATACCTGCAGCGGAATCCGACTCATAATTATTATATTTATTGCGATTTTCAAAATGCTGTGACACCCTGTCCACGGGACTCGAGATATTATGTTTGTAAAAATTATTCGTGATTCCAATGACATTGTCAAATATAACCCTTCTAGCTAGGACGTTGCAACTTTCTTCTGGCTTACAGA